TAATTCCTTTATTTCCCCTTTTCTCTTCTTCCTTCCTTTTTTTCCCATCTTTATTCTATTTTCTTTTTTCTCACTCTCCTTTGTTGTGTTTGCCGGCTTGCAACTGTGACTTTTTTATGCCATTTACTTTTTCATTGTTATTCGTATTTCATTGTTTCCGCGTTTTGTTGTTTTGTTATTTCTTTCTTTCTTTCCTTTTTTTTGGTTGTCCTTTTTTATTCGTTATTCGTTTTTTTTGCTTTACTTAGTTGTGATTTTATTTATCATTGTTATTATCAATATCAGTATTATCGCTATCATTGTTATCGTTATTATTGAATTATAGTTATTTGTGTTGTTATTGTTATTGCTATTATTGATAATGTTATCGTTATTATTATTGTTATTGTTGTAATTATAGTTGTTTTTGTTGTTTTCATTAGTGTTGTATTATTATGATTATTATCAGCACTATTATCATATTTATTCTTATCATTATCATTATATGTCGGTAAATATCTCTTTATGGCTTCAGTGTATCCGCTCTGTTGAAAAATTAAACCAAGAAGGCTTTGCGTCCCTCCTCCTTCGCGCCCGTCTTGGACATGGCACTTATCCCCCCCTCCCCCCCCCCCCCCGCCCCCCGCAGGTGCGTGTGCCCCGGGGGCGCCTCGGGCCGCGCTGCAAGGTGGCGGCGCGCAGCTTCCGCGGCTCCGGGTGGGCGTGGGTGCCGCCGCTGCCGCCCTGCCTGCCCAGCACGCTCTCGCTGCGGCTGCTCACCCGCCGCCCGCGCGCCCTCGTGCTCTACTCGGGCCCGCTCTCCGCCACCTCCGCCCGCCCGCGCTTCCCGCCCACGCCCATGATGGCGCTGCAGCTGGTGGACGGCCGCCCGCAGCTGCTGATGGAGGGCGCCCGCGGCCGCGTCCGGCTGCAGGTCAACGCCTCCGTCAGCACCGGCACCTGGCACACGCTGCACGTGCACCTCAACGGCCAGGTGAGGCGCCAGGATTTCGTTCTTTGCAATCCAACAGAAACGAAAACGTTCGAAACGTTTTTCCCGAATCCAACCCTTATTCTCCCTTGACCCTAGGGCGTCACGCTCATGGTCGACCTGTGCGGGCGCGGGTGGGCGGACGCCACCACCGACGCCCACTGCGCTGCCAGAGCCACCTGGAGAGACGCCCACGCCAACGAGGCCTGGAGCAGCAACGCCCCCCTGCAGCTGGGGGGACTGGCGCACCCCCTTCCCGAGCCCGCCTTCTTCGGATGGAATTTTGGGCCGATTCACGAGGGGCTGGAAGGGTGCATTTCGCATCTCACTGTCAATGGGCAGGTGAGTGGTCGGCTGGCTGTTCTTTTGACTGACTGTCTGTTGGTCTGTCAGCCTCTCTCTCTCTCTCTCTCTCTCTCTCTCTCTCTCTCTCTCTCTCTCTCTCTCCTCTCCTCTCTCTCCTCTCTCCTCTCTCCTCTCCCTCTCTCTCTCTCTCGTTCTCTCTCTCTCTTACTTCCTCTCTCTCTCTCTCTCTCTCTCTCTCTCTCTCTCTCTCTCTCTCTCTATCTATCTATCTATCTATCTATCTATCTATCTATCTATCTATATATCTATATATCTATCTATCTATCTGTCTTTCTCTCCCTCTCGTTATCTGTGTGTGTGTGTCTTTGTCTCTGTCTCTCTCTCTGTCACTCTCTCTGTCTCTCTTTCTCTCTTGTAATTAATGGAATAAAGTGTTTTGACTTTGACTCTCCTTCTATATACATATGTGTGTGTGTGAATATATACACACACACACACACACACATACATACACACATGCATTCCCACAATGTATATATATATATATATATATATATATATATATATAATATATATATATATATATATATATATATATATATTACCCATCATTCTTTTAGTTTAAATCTAAATTAATTTGCATATAATTCTAAATTGTCGTGTGTTCTATTTCCTTTGCCGGTGTGTATGTTCGCAAAATTACTTTAATTGTGGAAGCATATGCATACAAATAATTTTTTTGTACTCTGAGTCGTTAACATATTCTTAACTAGGCAGAAATTTCGTAACTAATTTTTTTTATCACCGCAATAACATATTTTACTTAATTAAATATTCATGATAATTAACGTATTCTTATGTATTTATTGTATGATTAGCATGTTCTTATCTAATTATTATACTCTTCCATATTCACACCTAATTCATGTTTTCTTGCTAGATTTAACATATTCTTTCCTAATTACTATATTCCTGTCTATTTGCACATCTTTAAGTAATTAATGAACACATTTTACTCGACATATTCTTAGTCAATTAACAAATTCTTCCAAAATCAACATATTCTTACTAAATTCACATATTCTTTCTAAATTAACATACTCTTTCCAAAGGGACATATTTTCATATATTCACATATCCATAATTTCCATATTTACGTGTCCTTTCCAACATATTCTTCTGAAATTAACATAATTTTCCCAAACTGACATTCTTATCAAATTTGCACATTGTTCCATAATCAGCATATTCTTAATAGATTAGCATAACCTTCCTAAATTCACAATTTTCTTCCGAAATTGGCATTCTTACTAAATTCAGATATTTTCTACAAATTAACATATCCTTCATAAATTAACATATTTTCCCCAAATTAAATTATTCTTCCCAACTTAACGTATCCTTCCTTAATAAACATATTCTTCCCACATTCAAATATCCTTCCCAAAATAACATATCATTCCCAAATTAACATAATCCTAATTTAACATGTCCTTCCCAAATTATCATATCCTTACCTAATTAACATACCCTTCCCTTATTAACATATCCTTCCCTAATTAACATGTCCTTCCCTAACTAACATATCCTTCCCAAATTAACATAATCCTGATTTAACATATCCTTCCCAAATTCACAATTTTTTCTCCCAAATTAACGTACCCTTCCCTAATTAACATACCCTTCCCAAATTAATTAACATATCCTTCCCAAATTAATTAATACATCCTTTCCAAATTAATTAACACATCCTTCACATATTAATTAACATATCCTTCCCAAATTAATCAACACATCCTTCCCAAATTAACATATTTTCCCCAAATTAACATACCCTTTCCAAATCAGTTAATAAATCCTTCCCAAATTCACTTTTTTTTCCAAATTAACATATTTTCCCCAAAATGACATACCCTTCCCAAATCAATTAATAAACCCTTCCCAAATTCACTTTTTTTTCTCCAAATTAACATATTTTCCCCAAAATGACATACCCTTCCCAAATTAATTAACTCATCCTTCCCAAATTCACACATGTTCCCCAAATTAACTTACCCTTCCCAAATTAATTAACTCATCCCTCCCAAATTAACATACCCTTCCCAAATTAATTAACTCATCCTTCCCATATTAATACATTTTCCCCAAATTAACACACTCTCGCCCTCCCGCCCTCGACCCTCCCGCAGCTCGTCGACCTGGGCGAACCGGCCTACAGCAGCGGGAGCTCGAAGGGCTGCGAACCCCAAGACGCCGCCTGCAGAACCCGAATGGCAGACTGTGGGTTCCGCGGGCGCTGCGTGGGCGGCCTCAACAAACCGGAGTGCAGCTGCGACCCCGGGTGGGCGGGCCGGACCTGCGCCACGCCCACCGAACCCATAGCGCTCGCCCACGACTCCTTCGTCAAGGTCGCCCTGTCGTTCACGCCCGACCCTTACGTCATCACGGCGCAGCTCCGAGTGCGCACGAGGGGGAGGCCCGACGGGGTGCTGCTGCAGGTCCTCGCGCATCACAGGGCGGCCGCCGTGACCCTGCGCGTGAGTAGGGTGGGTGTGTGGGGAGGGGGGGGTGGAGATGGAAGGGATGGGGTGTGTGGGGGAGGGGGGAGGGGAGCGCGTGAGTAGGGTGGGGTTGTGTGGGAGGGGAGGGGGAGGGTGTGAGTAGGAGGGGGAGGGGGGGGGAGGGGTGCGCGTGAGTAGGGTGGGGTGTGGGGGAGGGGGAGGTGCGAGTGAGCAGGATGGGGTGTGTGGGGAGGGAGGGGGATGGGGAGGGGGGAGGGTTGTGTGGGGAGGGGAGGGAAAGGGGTGCGCGTGAGTAGGGATGGGGTGTGTGGGGAGGGGAGGGGTCGCGTGAGTAGGGGGGGGTGTGTGGGGGAGGGGAGGGGGAGGGGGCGCGTGAGTAGGATGGGTTGTGTGGGAGGGGAGGGGGAGGGGTGTGCGTGAGTATGATAGGGGTGTGTGGGGAGGGGGGAGGGAGAGGAGGGGTGCGGTGAGCAGGATGGGTATGTGGGGAGGGGAGGTGGGAGGAGAGTGTGTGGGGAGGGGGGAGGGTGCGCGTGGCAGATGGGATGTGTGGGGAGGGAGGGGGAGGGAGGGAGAGAGGAAGGGGAAGGAAGGGGAGAGGAGGGGAAGGAGAGAGGGAGGGAAGAAAGAGAGGAAAGAGAAGGGAATGGAAGGGAGAAGGGAAGGGGAGATAAGGAAGAGAGAGAGGGGAAGAGAAGGGAATGGAAGGGGGAGGGGAAGGGAAGAGAGAGAGAAGGAGGGAAGAGGCAGAGAGGGAGGGACGTAAAAGGAAGGGAAAGGGGATAAGGACAGGTAGGGAGAGAGGGAAAGGAGGAGGAGGGAAGTGAGAAAAGGGGAAGGGAGAAGTGAAGGAAGTGAGGAGGGGAAGGGAGGGGAAAGAACAGGAAAGGAGGAGGAGGAAGTGAGAAAAGGGGGAGGGAGAGAAGTGAAGGGAAGGGAGGAGGGAGGGAAGGAAACGAGTGAGGGGACTCTAGAAGTAAAATTGAAACTGAACTATTCTATTTACCATATATTCTGCAGTACATCCTACATACAGAGAATAAAATGAATGTTTTGCCTTTAGCGAGAGCAAAGGGAAGTGGAAGGGAGGGGAGGAATGAAGGAGGGGAGGAATGAAGGGAGGGGGAACGGGGAAGGGCGATTGGGGACGCAGGGAACAATACGGTATAAATTGGCTGATTGAATGAATGAATGACAAACGGGTGATCTCAAAGACATGAAGACGTACAAGCAGGGTGACTGAATAACAAACAGACAGACACACACGGACAGAGAGGCACAGAGGGGAGAGAGCACGAGAGACGGCGAAAGAGACGGGGTTCCTCCACAGATATGGAAACTTCCGCTCGACTGGGTCATCGGCAGGCAGCAAGCGCCGAAGGACCTGAATTACTCATCTTTCCCCTTTCCCGTGGCTGCCAGCTCCGCGCGGGCGTGGCGTGCGCGTGGGCGTCGGGCGGGCGTCGGGCGCGGCGTCGGGCGAGGCGCGGCGGCCCTGGAGGCGTGCGTGGAGGGCTTCCCGCTGGGCGACGGCACGTGGCACACGGTGCGCCTCGAGCGCCACGGACACAACCTGCTCGTGGCGGTCGACGACGGCGACGGCTGGCGGAGGAACGAGAGCCTGGCGTCCTTCCTCACGAGCGCCCACGCGGGCGACATGCGGCCGCTGCTCGAGGGCACGCCCATGCCCATCATGGTGGACAAGCAGGACTGCTGCGTCGTGGGCGGCCAGCCGGAGTTCGAGGGCGAGGTGCTCGTCGCCGTCAACGATGACCTCAGGGAAAGTGAGTAGCCAAAGACCTCGAGTGCATGAAGATGAAGGCGAATTGATGCCATTTGATCCACATGACACACTGCTAGATAAGGGGGTGACTCCATTATTTAAGGACATTTCTGAGCCGTAAAAGAAAATACATAATCAGAAGACAAAAAAAATGGCTGAATTATGTCTTCAAACACAAAAATAGATAATAATAAATAGATTAACCAATAAAAATAGATAAAAAATAACAATAACAACAACAACAACAACAAAAATCCAACCCCACCTAAACACACGACCACCTTCCCTCTAACAACCAGGCTGCGTGGACGACCTCCGCGTCTCCGGCCACGCGATACCACTCTCAGTCCTGCAGAACGACACCCGGTGGGGTCAGGTGATTAACCAACAGCAGGTAGAGAAAGGCTGCCCATCTCCTGACCTGTGTACCAACGCCACCTGTGCCCCACCTCTCAGCTGTCACAACACCTGGGCTCATGCAGCGTGCAGGTGAGTGGGCAGGCGTGGGTGTGTGGTTTGTTTGTAGATGTGGGTTCTGTTTGTAGAGTGTGACGAGTTGGTTTGTCTCCTTTGTTGGCGTTTGTGGATGGAGTAGTCGGTGTAGTCTCTTTGTTTCTCATTCTCTTTTTCTTTCCCTCTCTTTGGCTCACTC